CCCCAAAACCCCAAAACCCCAAAACCCCGTCTTTCTAATTATAACTTAAATGAAAAAAGAAAAAAAAGTAAAATTACCGCAAGCATAAATATTATAGTAATGACTTTAAATATATAAAAATACTATTTTCATAAAATTTCATCTTCTAGACTGTACAGATTGTTTCCAGCCATTGCTGCAAACCCTTGGATTAATTACAAAAATCCAGATGTTAAAAATTCCACATCATTTGCTGTGAGCTTCTCCACATTCTCATCTCCAAACTTGAATCTCAGTTTATACAAGCCTTAGTCTTTTTTCTTTTTCCCTTTTTCAAACACGACCTCGAATTCAACAAGATTAACGCCATCTGATAGAGGAAGAAGAAAATCTATCTTGTGAGAGTTCTTTTTATACTTGCACTTCATATTATTCTTAAGTGCATACTGTTCTAACTCAATCAAGATATTCTTAGGATCACTCTAGACATAGCCATTAGGGTTTAATGGGTCGTAAACAATACTTTGAGGCTATTAGTTTTGATTATCAATCGTCATCTAAGAGTTCTGGTCAATCTATTCTTACTCTACAAAACTTTGCCTAATCTGATCTTATTGATACTATTGCTAACTGTCTTTTGCTTTACTTGACAAATTTCCTTATTATTATTCTCGTAGTTTCATTTACACCCATAAATGATGCATTTCCTTTTTAGCTAGCTCTTCGTCCACCTTGTATCCCCTTACCCAAGGATGATTACAAATTTCATTTAGCGTCAAACGGTAACATGGTACTGATGAAACTAATGAGTTAAATAGATTCTTTAATTCTTCTCTAATTACTATTCCTAATTGACTTGAGTACTGAGTCTCCCATACATTCCAGAAGTACTAATACTGCTATAAATTTAGAATTTTGAAATGCTTGTCTTCCATTGGATCAGCCTTCCAAAAAGGTGGTCTACCCATGATAAGAGAAAATAAAATGACTCCCATTGCAAAAACGTCTGTCTGCTCTGCGTTATAGCCAATATTTTCACAAATTTAGAGGTTCAAGATTTCCGGAGCCATATAGCCTAGAGTACCTTTGCATGTAAAGTGCATAAAGTTGCCATTAATGCCCTAGGCATGCGTAGCAAATCCAAAGTCTGCTAGCTTTAAGTCGTAGTTATTATCAATTAGTAAGTTTTCAGGCTTAAGATCTCGGTGACAGATCTTGCTTCGTTTTAAGTGTACCATAGCCTCTAAAAGCTACCTAAAGTAGAAACAAGTGGCATTTTCTGATAATGGGGATTGACAAATATAGTCAAACAAGTTACCACGCTCAGCATATTCCATTACCAAGTATGAGTATAGACCTGTTTAATTAGGTTCTTCTTTAATTTACCTTACATTTTTTCTCTCTTCAATGAATTATTGACTTTAAGATTACTATGTTTGCTACTAGCCTTGTAGACAATTAAAAGGATTTGCCATATGGACTAAGCTGGCTGTTTCAATGACCTTTACTATGTATGGGTGAGATATACCAGCCAAGAATACCACCTCATTTTGGAAGTGTCTTATCATCCCATGTCTTTTCAATGAGTCTGGAGTCATCTTAGAGAGCTCAGTACCCGAGATGCTATTTTAATTAGTCAAGTTAGTATTTTCCCTATCATTCTAGTTCTATTCTCACTTGCTTCTCTGATTGCCAGTTCTTCGTGATCTAGATTGATGATTCTTTTCATCGTCTTTGAAATTGAAAATTTTGATAGCGACGAGTTCTCCCTCTTTCTCATGAATACGTTTCGCCAAGATCACCTTACCATATGAGCCCTCTGCAAGTACTCTTAAGGGCGTGTATTTATTTAAAAATTGTACCATTAGTGGAAATGATTGATTTATCAGAGTTATTGCTAAATTTTAATTTCTATTGAATTGAACTAAATCTAGTTTTATGGGGTTTTGGGGTTTTGGGGTTTTGGGGTTTTGGGG